CAAATTTCATTCTTTTCCATTACTACTAAAATCAAAACCAAATAAAATTAAAAGTGTGTAAGTATACTCAAACAAGCCCACTTACACAAGATACACTGCTACTGAGGAAGAGTTTAACAAGATCCAAAGCAGTGGGAGGGATTTCTGCATATGGATTTGATGTTTTTAAAACCGTATTTCATCTATAGATGTGCATGTGTTTGTGTCTGCGTCTGTACATAAATGCCTTTGAAGCTTTCCTGTAAGTTCTTATCCACACTAACTCTGGGCAATGTACAAATCTAACAAACTATCTTCTAAGATAGCTTCAGAAATGAATATGAAATTAGATTATTCAGATTTAAAAAGAAAAAAGAAACTATACCTAAGAACAAACAACTTTTTTTTTTTTTTTGCGGAACCGGGGATTGAACTCAGACCCTTGCACTTGCTAGGGAAGCGCTTATTCCACTGACCCATCTCCCCGGCCTCAAGAACAAACAACTTCAAAAAGTAGCTCCTGGGGGTCTTGTGGATTAGTTCAGTTGTTTAAAGCACCTGTGTGGTCCCCATGTAGAGGACCACGGTTTGATCCCCAGCTCCACAAGCTACGCCAGACCCACCCTTAAGGCAGCCTGAGCTAGCAAAAAACAAACAAAAAACTTCTCTAAAAAGTCGCCCCAAAGCCAGGTGTGGTGGCACATGCCCGTAATCCTAGTACTTGGGAGGCTGAGGCAGGAGGACCACTGTGAGTTTAAGGCCAGCCTGGGCTACACAATGAGGCCCGATGCCAAAAAACAAAAAGAAGAACACATTTAAAACAACAACAAAAAAGGAGCTCATAGGCCAGGGTAACAAGTATATCACTGGCCTAGAATGTACAAAGCCTAGATTTTAATCTATGACATGGCCCCCTCCAAACAAACAAACAAACAAACAAAATAAACCACAAGAGGTTTCCTTCTCTCTAGTGCCATGTCTTCAATTATTATACATTCAAAATTAAAATTAATCAAGGAGCCAGGGAGATGGCTCAGTGGAATAAGCACTTCCCTGGCAAGAGCAAGGGCCTGAATTCAATACCCGGTTCCAGCAAAAAAAAAAAAAAAGAAAAAAGAAAGAAAGAAAGAAGAAAGAAGAAAGAAGAAAGAAGAAAGAAGAAAGAAGAAAGAAGAAGAAGAAGAAGAAGAAGAAGAAGAAGAAGAAGAAGAAGAAGAAGAACATATTTTACTAAATCTGGGGGTGGGTGGCTGGGGACTGAACTCCAGAGCACGGAGCTCCCTCCCAGCCCTTCTAATGTGCTCAGCCAGGTACTCACTGGACTGTCCAGACTGGCCCACACCACACCTGCTCCTGCTCACGGCCTTCAAAGTACTAGCAGGACATTCGCTGAATACTGATCAAAGGCAGACAACATGATTCCTGGACAACTATTGTAAATGATTTGAAAATTACTAAATCCAGAAATGGGCCTGTTTACTAATTTTAGTTATTTAACAAAACAATGTGAGAGAAGCTAATAATGCAACATACCTGATGAACCTGAATTTCCACTTTAAGAGCCTCCTGGAGAGTCTGCAACTCCATTCTCTACCTTCTCCACTTTCTCTTCTGTCTGCTAATTCTGTAGTTTCTTCAGCCTCCGTTTAAAATAACAAACTCTTCTTGCTGCAGCTATAGAGATCACAAAATGTTTTGTAGCATTATATTGAGAATCAGGAAAATGTGTTAAATAAAATAAGTTAGTCAAAAATATATCTCATTTTTTTTAACATGGGAGAAAACAAACTCCAAATAGATTTTTTTTTTCCAAAACAATTCAGTACCAATGGGGGGGGGGGTGTTCATTCTTTGAGTACCTGCCTACAGCACACTTCAAATAACTAAGAAAAGGAAAAACAGTAACAAAAAAATCATGGTGGTGGAAACATCTACGTACCCACTCCTGCTCAACACTGCTACGTACCCACAGAATCTACCTCACGGGGTCTACTGATGAAGTGCGCTTCCTGCGTTACAACAGACGGCACTATCCTCCCAACCCTGCCGGTGCATCTCCACCTATATACGTGTAACTGCACGCGGAGATGCCCCGAAGTCTAACTCACGATCATCAGTGCCAACACCCAGCCGGCGCTTCCCAGCCTCCACTCATCAGTACCACACTTTAAATTAAAATGGCTAATTTCTCCTTTAATTTTTTTCTTCTCTTAAATGTGATCTTAGACTTGATTGTAGTAGGTACTCTACCAAAGCAAAAGCCTTTTATTGCTTGAATAAATTTAAAGTTTACCTTAAATCTCTCTTCTTCCCTGTACTTGCTAGAACACCTTTTCAACATTAAGAAATAACCAGAAAGCTAGATGAACCACTGTTACATCAATACAATGAGAGTCAAAAATATTAATGTCTTCTAAAAGTTTACCACTGGATAAAGCACACAATTAACCCAAGTTTTAAAAAAAGTCCTCTGAAAACTGTTTTAGCAGGGTTATAGTAGAACAAGTAACCACAGAATAAATTCTTATGAATATTAGTTTTCATTGTATTTACTTAAATTAGTGACAATTTTGCCTCAAAGGCTTGTATGATACATTATATGATATCAAAGTATTCTAAACCAAAAAAGAAAAAAATTCCCAATGTGCAAGATTCCTTCAAAGTTAATTTGTAGAAGCTAGGAAAGATTTACCATACATGATATTCTTAACAAAAAAATTTCACAAAAGCAATATATTTAAGAGATAGAATCTGGAGACAGAAACATATTCTGATTAACAAACCTGTATCTTAGCTATTTTATTGTATTTTTAAAATCCCTGACACTATAACTGACCCATTAAGTGACTTAGACCAGACTTGGTTGTCATATAAGCTTACTGACATGCAATTGCTAATGTTAAAATTATACACTCCCTTTCATTTTAAACACTAAATTAATGTCCCTACACAAATTCTTAATCTATATATTACAGTTCTTTTGAAAACAGTATGTGGGGTTTTTGCTGTTGCTTTGTTTGTTTTGTACTGGGAATCAAACTCAGGACCTTGTACTTGCCAAGCAGGCACTGTGCCACTGAGCCACATCCCCAACCCTCAGTATATGGTTTTGATTTCTGCAGGATTCTACCAGAAAATGTGTCCAAACATGAGTACTTACAATTTTTGTTAAATCGAGTCATCTGAAGTTGGAATATTCTCAAAAACAGAAAGGCATATTTTATTCTTTTGGTGTTAACATTTTAACACCCTAGCTCAAGTGAACCCATAAAAACTAAAGAAACAGATAACAGGCTAAAAACAAAGAATTTACAATACACTTGACAAAAGTCGTATTATTTATATAGCTAGGGTTCTCACAACTTAATAACAAAAATTTGTGGAAAATAATTCATGGAAATGAAAATAAGAATGATCAACAAATGTGAGAAACATTTATCCTTCAACAATAATGGAAATACGTATTTTAGAAAGGTAAGTTTTGGGGCTAGGGAGATGGCTCAGTGGAATAAGCGCTTCCCTGGCAAGTGCAAGGGCCTGAGTTCAATCCCCGGTTCTGCCAAAAAAAAAAAAAAGAAAGGTAAGTTTTATCAAACTGAAGATCTGTACAAATAATAATAATGTGAACTGTCTAGAATTTGTCTGGCAGCACTTTGTAATTTGCTGGTGGTTCTCTCTGGGTAATAGTACTGGGAGTTATTTACAATACTTTCTTTTTTGGGGGGTACTGATACTGTGAAAAATTTCAATAAAAATACCTGTTTCGTTCTAAATAAGAAAAGGTTGGGGCTGGGGATATAGCTCAGTGGCGTAAGCGCCTGCCTGGCAAGTGAAGGTCCTGAGTTCGATCCCTGATGTTGCCAAAAAAGAAAAAGAAAAAGTTAAGTGAAAATGGATAGATTAAAGCATCAGAAAATTTTATACTGACTGATCAAACAAAATGTTCAGGTAAAGAAAACACAGAATTAGGGTTTAACCTGGAGACTCTAAATGTCAAAGAGCAGCCTGCACATTAAAAAGTCCACAACTCAAGTTAATGAGGAGCTGACAGCTTTTACTTCCTCCATCAGACTGTTGTCTGGTTATTAGAGACATACAAAGGCATGAAGTTTTATTTGGCAAGGATTCTAAATGCCAATTACTCATTTTATTTCAAAATAAAACTGAAGGGTTAAAAAAGGTAGCGACTATTTATAGAAAAACTAAGGATTAGAACACTCATTTGAAGTCCTCCTGTTCTGGTGTTTGTCATTGTTTTATGGTACTAGGGATGAAGCCCGGGGCTCTATACATGTACCACTGTACCACTGAGCTACACTGCCAACCCAGAAATTTCTATTTCTGGATGGCAATTGTAAGAGACCAGTTTCTGCCTAAAGGAACAAATTATAAACTTAGATTGATAGTTTACAAAGGTAAGGCAAGGGGCTGGAGAGATGGCTCAGTGGTCTAAAGCACCTACTTGGAACAAGCTTGGCAAAGCACAGGGACCACGGTTCGATCCCCCAGCACCACATGCCAGC